ACATATGCATTATTTCGGTTTTGAACCGAAATAATGCATATGTGAAAAACGAAGTAATGCATACATGCACAGTTTCGGGTGAAAACAGAAATAATGCATATGGGAAAAACGAAGTAATGCATACATGCACAGTTTCGGTTCAAATCCGAAATAATGCATATGAAAAAAACGAAGTAATGCATACATGCACAGTTTCGGTTGAAAACCGAAATAATGCTATGATAAAATGCCGAAATTATGCATATGCACACTTTCGTTTTGAAAGCGAAATTATGCATATGAAAAAAACGAAGTAATGCATATATGCACAGTTTCGGTTCAAAACCGAAATAATGCATATGACAAAAACCGAAATAAAGCATATATGCACAGTTTCGGTTAAAACCGAAATAATGTCTAAATGCACAGTTTCCATATGCACAATTTCGGTGCCCCATTTTTCTAGTCTGCAAACGAATAAGCTGCCGTACTTTTTAAAAGCTTTAAAATCTTAAATTATATGTGAAAAACTTTTATAATCTGAATATTTCTAATGTCGCAATCAAAACCAAATTTTATAAATAGCATTTTTAAAAAGCAATCATCTAATATTTTTCAATTTTTTGGTCATATATGTTACCATTTGAACAACAAATACTACCAAGTTTTAAGAGACTATTTAATGCAACTCAGGTCAAAAAAGCGCAGTTTAGACCAAAATGATAGAATACAAGATTGCGCCAATCTAGCTGAGAGCAACTGGCCGTGACGTCCAAAATACCAGAATGAGAGAGCAAAGACGAATTCAATAAGAAAAAGAATCGAACAGCTGGGGCGAAATTGAAAGGTTTGTTTACAAAGTGCATAATAAATCGCGGATTTACGGAATTATTTAATTTTAAATGGTAAATTGGTTGTTTAAAAGTAAAGAATGTGTACTTCTTAAATGCAATGCAAATCGCTGAAAGTGTTAAAACACTGCAATCATTATAATGATTTGCATTTTTTCAGTAATTGAACAAATACCAGCGGGCTGCCAGCGGGTCAGTTGCTGGTAACAATTTGCAGGACGATTCCACGGTGATCGTTGCATCGTCGTCAATTAGTGAACTCAGTAAGCAAGCTTTTAAAATAAAGGAAAACCTCCTACTCCGCTATACATATAATTACTGTCATTATTTAGCTACTTTTCCGGCAGCCGCAACAAACGCTGGCCCAAGCCTGCAAATTGCCAGCAACTGACCCGCTAGCTGCACACTGGCATTTGTTCAACTACTCAAAAATGCACTTTGTAAACAAACTTTTGGGTGTTTGCCACATCAAGCGGCTCATCTGGATGAAATGAAAAAGCTGTTAGA